CATCATTGTTGGGGTTCCCCAACAGGGGGTCGTATTTGGCCGCCAGGAGAGGGGGGGGGGTCGTAAAGTAGCCAGTAACGAGCAGCGCAAAGGTGTCAGTGTGCTGAGTCCTGTGTAGCGAAACTTGCTTTGTAGAGAATCCGGATATGTAAAAAAAATAGTACAAAACTTTCTTTGATTAAACTAATCAGAAATTAACTGGAAATATTAATAAGTCGACATCATCTCGTAAGTAGGTATATGGCTAAACAGTACAACTCATACCCTGGTTCGCTGCGGATGATGGGGCGTGTCCGCGATCGCGCTTGGCGCTGAGCCAACCTGTTTTTTTTCTTACGACAAACGACAGGACTACCATCGTTCGTATCGTTCGTATCAGACGTTTTCCAGCTGTTGGTCTCCTTTATCAGAGTCAGCAATTGGCGGAGCACAGATCTGGCGGCGTCGGACACGGACACGCCCCATCATCCGCAACGGACAACACTGTAAACAAGTGCGTAGGTTGGCCATGGAACTCCCTGAATCCTGTAAACACATCTGCTCGTGTAGACAGGCACTGCGTGGAACTGCACCATCCCATTACCTCTGCGTGGGAGCCTAAGCATGGCGCATCCACAAATGAAGCTAATCGGGCATTCGCAGCGCGGTTTCGAGATTGGCAAGACTGTTGAGTTTCAAGGAAAATAGGAAATAATCTCGTTCTAACGGGACAATTGCATGTCATTCCAAATAGATGCCCGAACCCCAACCTGAATTTCTCTCTGAATTGCGACTTCATAAACATCAGGTTCTTTCTCAGGAGCTTCGAACCTTCTTCACGACACGACTGGTTTTCCGTCTTTCCCACAGGTCCGCTTGAAGAATATGGATTTCATAGACAAATAGTTTCCTGAAATAACGCGCTCCCCTCCCAACACCGTTTGCGGCGCTATCCCTCCAGAATTCTTCCACTGCGATTCATCGGCTGTTAGCCGATGCGGCTGTTCGCTGGGTCCTAATTTTTTTGTGTTTAATGTTTTTCTAATGAAGAGGTTCTCTTCCCACTGGGGCAAGGGATTAATCCGTATCAAGAGCGTGTGTTTCGCATTTCTGGAATTCCTAAATCCTCTCCGCAATTCCAATCCTTTTTTAAATCGTATACGCTGCCACTGGTCCGCAGTTTCGTCTTTTCTTCCAAGTTGTCAAGCATGAATACGCGACCTTAGGCTTTGTAGGGTGGGGGAGGGGGGATAGGATCAGCACATTTGCTATTCCACATCTCGTATTCATTGCTTCATAAAAGTTGACTAGGTATTTCTTTGAGTGGTATCACTTTATGCCTCCACAACTTAGCGCCGTCATATAGGTTATGGCCTAGCTCGACTAAAAAAACAAACAGGGAAAAACTTCGCCCAAAATTAAGGGGGGGGGGAGGTCGTACGGACTCGAACCAAAATCCCCAGACTAATGCTGTTCGTGTTCGAAAATGGCGAAATAACAAAGCTAAAGAGATGCGAATGTGTTTTGCATAACGGCTGCATGCGCAATATCTGTAACTTTGGCGAGGCCGCCTGAAAGATCGAGTTTAATTTTGCTCTTGCTTGCACCTAGAATCCTGCTGAATGGCTCGTCTCATGATGAACACGTCCAAACGCCGGCACAGGGGAGAGTCTATGTCATGCTCACGGTGTCCTATCTTTTTCTTTGCTCTTTTCTGCTGACAATGGAGTTAATGATGGGCTTGGTCCATAGATTGATCACGACGTGCGAACTTGTTTCAACTTGATCACGGGCATTAGTGCTTAAGGCAGCGTCTCATTACTTCGCGACAGCAACCGGAGATCGCTGGCGACCTCGTGACGCTTGGGAACTGCCGCGATCCGATCATGCAGACAGCGGCACAGCGGGGAATGTGCGAATGCGGTGTGAGTACGACCCCCCCCCCTCGAAAAGGGTTCAGATACGACCCCGCCCCCTCCTGCTCTAACTGACAACCAGATGCATGTTCACCACAAATGGCTTCCTGAATATTGGAATGCGCAGGCAATCTCAAAACCGGACTCATCTCTAAAATCCAGGCAATAAGAGGCTGTTCATGCAATATGAGGCTGAACAACAGCCTCGCATTACCTACAATTTTGTCTTAGGATTCAAAATAAAACTCCTCGTTCGATAACCATGTATGACATGCAACTTGTAAGAAGGAACACAATCGAAACAGCGACTAATGGTGATCATTGATAAGCTAAATTGGTGAAAAAATAGCCCAAGGTCAGCGTGTCAGGCCCCAGATGTGCATTCAATGAATGGTGACGAGGAAAGCGAAACAAACATGAAGGACAAAACAAAAGCGAAACATGAAAAAATCAAAAAAATCTACCAAATGAAAAAGGAAATAACCAAGCGGCAGTAAATCGTTCTATACTTGGCTATTATCGATCGCAAGGCTGCGACCGCTTTGGCTGCAAAAACCTCATTGGAGCGCGGTAACTCGAAAGTCAGCGTCGCTGTGGCTGTTATTCAGCGAGCTTATCTTTTTTAGGTGCGGAGCTTTTGAGGAATGGTGAGCAGCATGCAACGGCAAGTTTCTACTGTTGTGTATTCTACCTAGTTGCAAACTGAACAATCCCCCGTTGGTGAAATATTCCGGATGGGTTTTGGATAGGCTAGGGGTAAATCGCGAGCTGGTTTCCATGCTTCACGCGAGGATTGCTTCGTTCAACGCAATTTCATCAGGATTAAAAACGTCCTGAAACCCCTCCATCTTTTCTCTTTCCAATAAGCTTTACAGTTTCTGAAGACCCACTAGTCGGCTGAATATTTTAGATGAGTCAACAGCCGCGCTACCCTTGACTCCACCCGAGGAAATCGACTCTCTGTGGCCATTGTGAGACGTAACACTTCCGAAAACTTCAGTGGCCTCCGAATACCTATTTGTCCCTCCAAATGAGTGAAAGAGGTAGCCCGTATCCAACCTGATCGTTGGTCCGAGTGTGCGCCGTGCATTACGCTCCTACGCAGAGGTGGTGGAAAGGTGTAAATTCTGATTTCAGGTGCTTTTATCCATGCAAGCAGATGTTTGTTTAGGGTTTGGAAAGGAATAATACACACGAATCTGTTTGAGACGTATTATTTAGTCATCTACGTACTTACGAGTTCATGCTATTAACTGATATTTATTTATTTATTTTTATTCTTTAATATTCTTGCTATATTGCTAATAAATTTTTTATTATTTGTAGTCCTATTTACATCCGGGTCTTTTGCAGCTTTCCGTTCCTTCCATCAAACCTAGCAATGACACTTTTCTACTGTTTGAGCCTAGCGAGCCTACTTTTGCGATACTCCCCATGTCCCCCGCGGCCAAGTACGAACCCATTTTGAGGATTTTGCATGAAAAGAGGGCTGTCAGAACGCAGTCATTCAATCTGGTAGAAGAAATACACTCATAATAATTTTCATTTTTTCAACGTCCTTAACTCCCGTAAGTCGTCGCAACTCCCACTATCAACTGAAATGTCGAAGCATTGCTCGGCTCTGAGTGACCCTTGAGATTACGACCCCCCCCCCCCCCAGCGGCCAAGTACGACCCCCCTATGGGTTTCGCACAACGATGCTGTACCCTGATGGCAGAGCGCGCCCCAACGCTCTTAATACTGTGCGCCCGAAGGCTTTCGGAGAAAGCGAACTCCATTCCATGCTTTTCTTTCTTAACTGCAATTTTATTAGATACTGAACTTGGTTTGAAACACAAAGACAGATGAACCCAACTTAGTGCTTCGTTTTCTTAATTTTCTTGATTGTGGCAGAAATGGGCAAAAAGCGTGAGAGCTTCAAATTCAGGGTAGGTTTATGGGTTTTTTTTTTTTCATGTCGTGCGGAGTTTATACTAAACTATAACGTTTTCACCTGTTGATGTTGCGTAAAATGACTATGTTTTGGTTCCTAGGTGAGTTTTTCTGTTCTTTTTTTTTCTTCGTTGTTTGAACTCGACTTGTGAACTATAAATGTTTTGGAAGTTGGAACAATTCAGACGCATTAGGATTTTTTAAGAGCGCTTTGCATAAATTGAAACACATAAAAACAAAAAAACAAAAGGAAACTCACCCAGGGGAAGGAGTTTGCCTCAATTCCCAAACCTTAAAAATAAGTGAAACTCCATTACTCCTTACCAGATCCGCGCGTATGTATAGAAAGTCGTTAAATCAGTTAGTAGCCATTATTAAGAGAAAAGGGTCTCACAAGTTGGATTTCCTTATTTATCAAGCGAGCAGTCCATAATAGCGTTGGGGCGCGCTCTGCCACGTACCGACGATCGCGGCGATCGCCGAGGTCGCCGCGATCGCACGCTTGGTGCGCGAGTATGAAAACGGCTGCCTAAGGCGAGGATGTTCCACGCTGACTGCGGATACTTTCAAGTTATCAGTTAGTAGCCATTATTAAGAGAAAAGAAGGTCTCACAAGTTGGATTTCCTTATTTATCAAGCGAGCAGTCCATAATAGCGTTGGGGCGCGCTCTGCCACGTACCGACGATCGCGGCGATCGCCGAGGTCGCCGCGATCGCCGCTGCTGTCGCGAAGTATGAACGCTGCCTAAGCGGAGAATGTTCCATGCTACTGCGGATCCATTCACCTTAAACGGTGAAAGGACCGTCCTTGGAGGTGAGGTTACAGTTTGTCTTAGAAGTATTCGATTAGTTCCAGAAGCAGTATTACAAATGCAGCAACTTATACAGTTCATATCACGGAGCCTGAAGAGGGTATTGAGTTGTGGGCACAGTAACGCATGGGTATCTATGAAGTCATGTTGGGTAAGGGCTGAGGCGGCTGAGTTACCCAGCCGCCTGCCCTCTACGCAGGTCCATTTTTTACGTCTCTTCCATGTCTCCAGAAATATGCTCGAACAACCCTCTTACTGTAATCCTCAGAATTTTATTTTATTCGTTTATTCATTGTGCCATGTTGTGCATTTCAAGGCTTTTGCGTTCAGAAATACAGTATCTGGCGTGAAGTCTCAACGTCTACTCCTTCAAAGGCCTAAAGAGAGCTTCAATTCCAGGCCTAAAAAAAGCTTCAGTTGCCAAGAAATGGACACCATTAAGCGCCCAAGCCACTCTAGCACTTCCGATAACCTGACTGAAACTCAGCAGGGAAGCTCACTCAGCTGATCCACCCACACGACTGATAATAGGATTTGCCCTTCATATGCACTCAAAATCTCTGAGATGCGGTAGGCGTGGCTGCGTTTGAAGTGAACATGGTGGCAGTCGAAGTTTTCAAGATATATTTTCATTCTGGGACCATTGTATTCATATCTCTTTTCCAAACTGAAATATCTCAAGAGCAGCCTAACCTATGCATCGCTCAAAGGCCACTCCTGCTCCGTCTCAGGGAGAGGGAGTGTACTACACATTGATGTCGACAGTGAGATCGTGAGTTCCAACCACGCCAGTCCGAAAATGATAGAGCGCCCCATAGGGTAATGTCATCATAACAAGACGATCACGTCGAAAGATCAAGGTGGTGAAGGGCTTGTTCCAGCAAAACCCTTGGGAGGCAAAGGAGTAGATACTGATTGAAGCAATTAACCACATAAGGAGGTATATCGAGACGTAAGGCGTTCTGGAAACCTCGCCATCCAAGGTTGATAATTCAAGTTTATTATTCTACGTTTCAGCGTAATCGCCTTCTTGAGGGAGTAATTCATGACTACCTGAGTATCCACTACCCTACTCGAACTCGAGATCTATGCAGTTGACCACACGTAAGGCTGCGTTTATACTTTGCGGCAGCGTAGCGTAGCGCTTCCAGCGTACGCCAGCGGCAGTGCCGGGGAGAGGATGCATATCGATCTAGCGTTCCCAGCGTCACCAGCGTTTTGCTAGCGTTTGCAGCGGCAGGGGAGTAGAGACTATGGGAGAGCTGGAGGGTACAAAACACATCGATTGCGCGTCTCTCACGGCCACATAGTCTCTACAATACACATCGATTCGCGTCTCTGACGGCCACATAGTCTCTACAATACACATCGATTGCGCGTCTCTTACGGCCACATAGTCTCTACTCCCCTGCCGCTGCAAACGCCAGCAAAACGCTGGTGAAACGCTGGCGAAACGCTAGCGTACGCTAGCGTTACGCTGGTGACGCTGGGAACGCTAGATCGATATGCATCCTCTCCCCGGCACTGCCGCTGGCGTACGCTGGAAGCGCTACGCTACGCTGCCGCAAAGTATAAACGCAGCCTAAAGACCACTCTCCGCAACATTGGAGACGGACAAGAGAATCGTATTTTGCCGCACCGTCGCGCGCAGCGCAACGTCTGGCAATGAGCGCGGGAAATTTTCAATGTACGCGACGGGCCCTGGAAGTCCGAACTGTGCGCCAATATGATATCGGCATTGAGGGCGATGCGCAGCAATCAGCGGGGACCCTCATCTTTGGGCGCCCTTACAAAGGATTGACCTACGCTACCAATTCTGTGGAAGGGGGGGGGGTGCCTCACGCTTTGATGCGATCCAGTTGAATTCAAAATCTTCCCAAGAGCAGCTTAACCCTACTTGTGGGTTTTCAAATATGTAAAGCCTCACTGCCACATCCACAAACTCAGAGTGCCGACGGGGAGCGACATCTCCTAAAAAGTTAGCCCGGTTTATGATATTGCTTTATAGGCTGCTTAATGTTGAATTTCACTATGCGATTTGAAATGGGATTAGGAGGAATCGTCTCAAGGCTACTGCCGAAACGTTCGTCGAGTAAAGATTTGTAATCTCGGATCATTCAAGAAAAAACCTTTGAATATTGCTGTCGTCATGTCGAGATTAATGGAGAGTCGTTCATGGACTGTGAGCTGGTTTCGTGAATTGGAGCAGTGAAGCTCGTAGGAATCATTGCATATTTTCTTATTTTTTTCCATTTTTCGGCACATATCACGTGTTTTTGGCGATCGTCAACATGTGTCTAAGGAATTAGCAATATTGGAGATCGGACAACAGCACCTTGAATTCGCGATTCGAGCTGAGGCAGGTAGAGACTCCGTCCCTCGCTCGTGCAGCGTCGCTTGCACGCCGCCTTGCGCGCAAAATAATCAGGGGTTTCCCAAAAGTTATTAGTGATTTTTTGGATCTCTTATCAGATCTTTCGGCAGCTTTTCAAGATCCAGTTATGAGGTCTATGAGAAACGTGTTGATAAGCAACCCACAATTGCTCCACCGTCCCTCGCAACCGCTGTTCTAATTCCAAAACGGTGGATGAATCTCATTACGTCACACTTCGCTATATGTTCCACCAGGTCCCAACGTGATTGGAGCCCCACGCGGCATCTGCTCTGAATCGGTCCTTATGCAACCTTCCATAGTACGGCGTTGAAATGGCCCGATCGCTTTCGCTTAAGTGACTTCTACCTGGGAGAAAACCTCGTCCAGGGAGGCCATCTGCCTTGGATTTGGACCTACTGCGTTCCTTGATTCGAATCAACTCGCTATCTAGTCCTTACACTTCAAATGCGTTTCTTGATTAAAACCAATTCGTAGTAGTATGTAGAACTTTGGCGGCGCCACCAACGAAATGGAAGGGGAGTATACAAAAAGTGTGGAACGGGAAAATCCGCGAAAAGCCAATAACCGGGGAATATTTCCTCGGAGGCGAATTTCTAATAGCACATGCGACATCCCCCCTTCTCTCCCCAGTGGGCGAACCACCCTCCCCAGTGGCAAGTACGACCCCCCCCCCGCATGTGTTTCACACAAGGATGCTGTATCCTATCTACTATTGGTGAACAATGGGCTGGCACCACGTCAAAGTCAGCTCCCTTGGACGCCTACGCATCTGCAGTGAACGGGACTGTAGAATGCACAATGTCATGACGTACTAAAGTTCTAACTACCATCAAAATAACGGCGTATGAGATTTTATTTCTTCTCAAAAGAACAAACACAACTTGATGGAAAACGTTTCAATTCTATTTAATTGTGTGACGCAGATCAATCTTCGATGGCACATACCCAGATCGTATGCACCCACCAACACACACACATTTATAGACAGATAGTCAACCCAATAGACAGACATTTAATGTGACAATTCAAGCAGAACTAAGCCATTTATACGTAACAAGTAGCGTATGCATGTTTGTTTTGCGTATGTCTGGTCCTTTTCAGTACCTTCTGAAACGTGAGTAGACGTCCTGCTGCAGATCCGGCTTGATTGCGCTGGCCAACGGGTCAATATTGATTAGTACCGGTAATTGGCATTGGACCGGTGAAAAGTAGCAATTGCGATATTTTTGTGAATCCGTTGTCTCCTTTCTGAAAGAAGCACTTTGAATGTTGCAAGCGTAGGGAGAAATCTACGCAGTGTGTGTTATCAAATAAATAAATAGTTAAAGCATTTGCCAGCCTGTACTCCAAATCACTAAGAAGCGGTAGGCGAGACTGCGTACTTCATTTGAACCTTCGCCCTAACCTAGCGATCGCTATGTTAAAATGAAGAATGCAGCCACTCTTAGGCAGCGTACATGCTTCGCGACAGCGGCGGCGATAGCCGCGATCGCTGCGACCGTAGCGATCGCAGCGATCGCCGCGATCGTCGGTACGCGACAGAGCGCGCCCCAACGCTATTACTTGGACCGCTCCGAGTGCTTTTAGGGAGAATCGGCTCAATTTCATGCTTTTTTTTCTTTTAATTGCAATTGTCTGAGGTACTAAAGCTTGGTTTGACTCAAGGAAAGGTGCACCCAACTCAATGGCTTTTCTTTTCTATTTTTTTTGATTCAGGATAGAATTGAGAGCTTCAATTGGGGTGGTTTTCTCATTGATTCTCATCCAATTCTTCGAGCTTATACATGAAGTTATGAAGTTTCTCCATTCATGCTGCATAAGAGAGTTAGGGTTTCTTCTCCTAGGTGAGTTTCTTTTCAGTTTTTTTTTCGTTGTTCGAACTCGACTGGTAAACTAAAGTTGGAACAGTTCAGCCAACAGGAACTTTTAAAACACCTACACAAATTGGAACAATGAAAGCAAAAAGAACAAAAGGAAGTTCACCTAGGAAATGAAGTTGCCCTCATCAAAAAACGGTGGAATCCCCCTTGCGCATATTCCAGGTCCTCTTAAAGACAGCCCCATCCTTAAGTAATTCATGGTTGTCCTTTCTTGTGCAAGCTACAGCCCCTGAAAGTCCTTGTTCTGGCGCCCGCTCAGTTGGACTGTCCACCTACTATATGCCCAGGGCCGGGCCGCTCAGTTGTTCTTTGGGGCGGCGGGCATTAATCGGAATTGCATGTCCTTTTTGCTGACCGCGCTCGTGCCCATAAATTTCTGCTCTCCTTTATTACATTTTATTCATTGGGAGCACATACAGTCAACTGCAACCCATCTCGTAAGGTAAAACGCGTAAAAATCACGAGTGATGCAATTTTTGGTGCAAAAGCTCGACGCACTAAAAGATGCACGCTACCGTAACCCTAAATTCGTACGCCGAGTTTTTGAAAGTTCTTTTTGTTAAGAGTTTTCCGTCGGTGTTTTTGTTGTTTTTCGTATTCTTTTCTTTGCACTGGATGACATCTACTACTGGAGATGCGAAAAGCGATTTGTGAGCCAGGGGTTGCACAGAGACCGCAGGGCGGTGTGACTGTCAGGGAGCGATTTTGTTTATAGTGTTCTTGAGGACTCTTCTTGCTTTTTTTTCTTCTTTGGGGAATTACTTATCAGCTACTGTTTCATAATTGAACAGCAACTATCCATGACACTTTATCGCGGGAACTGTCTTCAAGTACAGAAAGTCGTAAGTTTTCATTTAGTAGCCATTATTAAAAGAAGGTCTCACAAGTTGGATTTCCTTATTTATCAAGCGAGCGGTCCAAGTAGTAGCGTTGGAGCGCGCTGTGTCGCTGTGTCGCGTACCGACGATTGCGGAGATCGCTACGACTGCCGCTGCTGTCGCGAAGTATGAACGCAGCCTTACCGCGTGTCAGGGATAGTAGTACAGGAGGTGTAGAGCCTAATGGCGTCACTCATTGTTAGTCGACCACGTGACTGTTTGAACAGTTGGGCATGATACTGTTGCAAAACCATATGTTCGGGTAGTGTACCACCTCCACAGCATCGAAGGGTGCAAAAAAAAACATATGTCAGGTCAGAGTGTGGGATTTTTCGAAAAGTAGGGGTCTCCAAAATGGGAAATCACATCATGCGTGGAAAGCCGGAACGTGTGAGGTCATGGGGTGCGTGAGATGATAGAACACTATGAAAATGAGAGAGTGCAGTGAAAAACGCGATTAGAGGGAATGGGTGCATGGCACTGTTGCAATCGCGTTTCATCGTTTAACCCGCGCTTAGAGGAACAAATCTCATCGGTAAGTCAGGTACCGGATCTTGGCCATCCTACTCTCGTCCAATGATCATGATCAAGTGCAAGAAAGGGGGTCATATTGAGGGCGGCTTTTTATACTTTTTTTTTCTTCACCACTTCGACAACTAGCTCGATGCACTCCTTTTTGAGCTCTAATACTCACTATGTGCAGTCGCGCGAAGTGCCTTTGAGAACCCTTTGTATAGAATATATCGCATTCAAACACCACCCGATTCCGCATGAGGGTGAAATACGCGGCGCATCCGCAAAACGACTGATCGAAGCTGAAAGCTTCAACTTCAGCTGATCACCAACAAAAACATAGACGAAGCCTTTGCAAACTACCAAAATAACGCCCTCCTTTTTGCGTGTGATTTTCAGGATTAGACGAGTAAGGATAAATTAGAAAACAATCGTGGACGAGAGAATTAGAGCAGTACACGCCACCACGTCGCAGTAATCAGTAGCAATGTCCACGCAGCAGTCACACGTTTATGGGGCATTTACACTTGGCACATAAGAGCCGAGAATGCGACATGCATTAGGCTCCCACGCAGAGGTAGTAGAATTGTGCAGTTTCCACGTAACGTTTGCTCAGATGTCTTCATAGGGTTCAGGGAGGTCTATAGCTCACCCACTCACTTGTTTACACTATGGTTCGCTGCGGTTGATGGAAAGTTCCGCGCAGCTGCGTTCGGCACGCCGCCAAGTTCGTTCTTCAATAGCTGTTGAGTTCAGTCTTGTTGTAGTGAGTGTAACGGCGAAGCTCTTCTTTCATTGAATCTTTATATGACTACGTTTCGGGCATAAGCCCTTCTTCAGGTCACTCGATCTTAAATGATTTGATTTAAGATCGAGTGACCTGAAGAAGGGCTTATGCCCGAAACGTTGTCATATAATAAAGATTCAATGAAGAGAAGAGCTTCGTCCGTTCTACTCACTACAACAAGATTGACCACAATGGAAGCTCAGGGAACCAACGATCCTGAGTTGTTGAGCGTCATCAACAGGAGGAAAACTATGGACCCGAACGATGTATTAGGTCATCCCATTCAAAAGTGCCGAGACATATAGAGGAATGGCAGAAAAGCAAAGGGGATAGGGAGCGGGCTACTATACCATTTGGAAGCTAGTACCTTTAGCTGTGTATCTGTGAAATTTGGCGAACCTACCCACAGAAGAAGTTCTCGAGAAATTGAAAAGAAGCCCGAGTGGTGAAAATCAGCGCCCGATTTTCAAATCAGACGTCATAAGAGGGAAGTGCGCTGCTCAAATTTGACCTGCGCCGGACCAGTAGTTGTGTGTAATGGTGTTCTCGAAATACAAGGTGGAAGGTTTGGTTCAGGAGCCCGAAGAAGGAAGAAAGGAAAAAATTTGTTGTCGTGGATGGTCCCATAATGTTCATCCTGCACAAGAAAAAAGGGTGGATGAAGTCAAGCGCTGAATGTCTGATCACAGAGCCTGGACCTTGTCGAGCTTCCCCGCGAGACTGACATCCCTGCTGCAACTGCTGCCCGAGTTATGTCCGATAAACTGAGGATGGTCAAGAGGGTGTGCGCATGGGTACCTAATTTTCTTGTAGAAGCACGAACGCAGTACCGATTCTATACGTCATTCACGACTGTGAAAACGCACCCCGGCCCTAGATGAAATATGGGTGGTCTTGGACCTCGAGCCAAAACTCACAATCGTCAATTTTGTATGAATGCAGATGAGAAGCCGCCCGAGTTCTACCATGAGGAGTTACGTGGGCGCAAGTGGATGATCATCATAGCAAAGGATTCCCACACTGTGGCTTTCAGGCGGCTCTATACAGAGAATAAAATCGTCGCTGTCGGTGTATATTGCCTGTTCCTCGGCAATCAGATCGACAAATGGATGATACCACACAACTACAAGAAGGCCACCGTTGCTCGTCCTAATCCCAGATCCCGAGTAAGCTTATTGTATCGGTCGGGACCAAACACAACTGAACGTGGAGTTATCGCCCTATTCCCCGATACATCCTAACAAGGTGATTACAAAAAAGTAGCCAAATCACTTACAATGTATCTACAACTGAGCGAATGGTCACCTTGATGTTACTAAGAAGCGAAGTTCGCCCTGATTTATCAGCTTTACACTGATTTAAGCTGCAGAATTTTATTTGAAGACAAATTGTTCACTCACCTCCTCGGACGACCCTTACATGTACGAGGAGAATGGGCCCGCAGATGCAGCAGAGTGCCACTTTCTACGCTCAAAAAACCACGGAAACAGGGCAGAAGGGTAGTGATATCCGGGTGCCCTCTCCCCAACTCTGCCACTGCTGTGCAGCACGGGCGTCAATACCATGATCCCTCAGCGAACACGCAGTCAAAGGCACAAAAGGATCAGAGTTACGAGCAGAAGCGAGAGGGCGCAGACAAGGCCGTGCTGACGGTCTTGCGCCAGCAAGTAGGGAGTATGGAGACGACACACTCGGATATCACTTCCCTCCATCCCAGCTCCGGTGCACTCCCGAGCGGAGGAGGCACACCTCTGCAGCTGCAGACCCACTCTCCTCCCATATGGTAAGGACTAGGATCCACGAAGATGAGTGCACAATTTCCCTACAACTTCAGTGAACATAAATGAACTCACTTCCTCAAATCGAGTTTTTCCAGCAACGGTAGTTTCTTTCGTAACCTTGACTGAGCCCAGTACCTGAAAAATGATTCGCTTTCAGCCAGCTGACCAAAACAATGTCCTATACCGAATTGACTATTCGTAGACATGTCCTGACATAGTTTTTTCGGTAGCGTCAAAGAGCCTTCGAAGCTGGCAAAACAATATTCGGTCCTGTGCTATAGAGACCTTCTCTTTCCCTTCTCACGCTCGTTTTGGCGCACACTCTTTGAAGGCATATGGTAGGATAACTCGGTGCTCGGTTTAGAACGCCAGTAGGGTGCTATATAGTAGGAAATGGTGAAAAAACGAAGTGAAACGGTCAAAAACCTGCGAAGGAAAGCCTTCGTTTTAATGACTCAAGAAGCAATTTGGACGAGTTTTCCGTAGGCATCTTGCCAATAACCGCTAAGTAGGTACGGCTGCACGTAGTACCTGTATATCCATGCAGCACTGCAGCCGCTTCATACCATTCCCTTCGCTTCATATTTTAAATAGCAAATGAAGCAAAACGAGCATCAGGTGTCGTCCATTTGTGGGCGGGCGGGCGTGGTGGGCGTTTGGGTCGGTATGTTGTAGCTTGATAGGACCCTTATAAGGGTACCTCCCTAGGAAAAACCGCTACGCAGCGCCTGCTCAGGGGCGTGGAAATCCATCCTGCCAAGCGTATTAATCCTACTCGCCTCAGGGATCTTTAGTGATTTATCGTGCCATCTGCCTTTAAAGGCAGTTGGCACGATAAATCCCTAAAGACGAGTAGGATTGATACGCCTGGCAGGACGGAATTCCGCGACCCTGAGCAGGCGCTGCGTAGCGGTTTTTCCTAGAAGGTACTCTTATAAAGGTCCTATCAAGCTACAACATTCCGACCCAAACACCCACCACGCCCGCCCGCCCAC